ACGGAATGGGGCGTGCCCAAGGCGCTCACTAAGGGATTTAAGGTGGAGGATGTTCAGGCGGGTCAGTACGGTCTTAACGTATACACCATTTGAATAGGAAAGTGTGAAGACAACTTTAACTGAACTTCCACCTTGAAGGAGGTACCACATGCCATGTAGTTTTGTTTATCGTGAATCGTGTTTGACTGGAACTCATTTTGAAGAATGCCAATTACAATTTTTACAGGGCCAAACATTTCACCAAATTTGTTCTCGAGTTCTATGGTCTACGCCCTAAAGAGAAAATGTGAATGGATTACTCACATGTACATTTCCTTTGGTTGTGCATGGAATAGATAAATCTCTTGCTCAAAATCTCTGTATTATCAACTTGTGCTCATCGTTGATTAGTAACTCTGGGATATAACTTTAATTTCGAATGTCTCAGGCAAATATGGATCACACTTGCACGTGTGGGACTGGACTTCACGGACCATTCAACAGACGATAGACCTGGGAATGGGTACCATTCCCCTGGAGATAAGATTCCTGCACGATCCTCGACAGCCCCAGGGGTTTACGGGATGCGCTTTGAGCAGTACCATCGTCAGGTTTTTCAAAAATCAGGTAAGGTTCCGAAAAATATATTTTAAAAAGTTGTTTTAATTATATTTTATTCTTGCTAACGAAGTAATCGGTACAGGAGGTATGTGGTCAGCTTGTTCAAAGAAGCAAACCCGTTTTCAAAGAGAATTCCCTCCATTGACATCTCATCGTTGTTGCCTTTTAGAATGACACTTGGAGCGCTGAAACGGTGGTTAAAGTGCCAAACAAGAAAGTTCAGGGATGGGCTCTACCGGAAATGCCAGGTCAGGATTTTCTCTCGTACCCAGTCTCTTTTTGTGCTTTCGGCTGTCGCGCAATTTTTGCTACAACAGAACAGATGATTGACTCCTTACAACATTTTAGTTGATTAAAATTTTAAAAACTGCTGAAAATTGATGTCAATATAGTCCGTAAGGTAGCTGTGCTACTTCGCGGCAAAATTTTCCCTTCCCCAGTTGCTAAACATTTCTTTACAGATCAATTATGAGAATTAAGTTATATTCAAAATGACGCTTTCTTTCTCGTGACCTTGTAGAGTATCATCGCATTTGTAGGATGATTTTGTGTTTTGTAAGGCTAGGTGGCATGTTTACCACCTCTTGTAGTTTAAGGTAACGATGGTATCCTTTTTACTTAGGTTTGATAACTGATATCCTTCTTTCGTTGGATGACAAGTTCCTGTATTTTAGCAATTGGCTACATGGAGACATCAGACAGTATGACATCACAAATCCTGAGCACCCAAAGCTTGTCGGGCAGGTATGTACGTGCACACTGATCAACACTTTCATGTCTCCTCCGTGTGATATCGTTGAATATAAAACGGCTTTTCTGTTTTCTAATTGGCTGTCTTTTTATTGTCATGGTATGAAGGTTTGTATAGATGAATCATAGCTAGTGGTCAATTCTCGTATGATATGAGTTGGGATACCAGGGCTTGAAATTATTCATTGTTAGTACCAGATCCCTGGCAGGTCTCTCGCTGGCTGGCTTTGCTCAAGTTCTAAAACTTGCTCGCAGGCGAATAAACGCTGGTGCCGCAACGCTTATAATTGGGACCTTAAGCATTTAGGACGGAAACGCCTAGAAAGACGTCGATTTAAAAATGAATACATATTTTTAGTTGGAAGCTCGCGAAAATTATCGGATGTGTTTACCATCTCTTACGGTGCCGCAAGTTAACCTCAGCATAACGTATGAGAGCGGCTTTGAGTTCCAAATAGAAACTTAACTAATTTTCTCTCCGGGTTTCCTTTCTCGGACCACGCAAGGTTTGATGATTTCACGTTTTTATTTTGCAGAGGACTGCTAAGAAATGTACACAGTTTTAAATCGCACGTACTAAGCTATTGTTCTGTTTATTAGGTCTTTTGTTTTGCCAAGTCCTCGTTGCCGTCACCGTCGTGGTTTGCGAAAGGTCCCCAAAGTGGGCCTGCTCGTAGTTTAGTACTTTTGTTACCTTGTTCTTTCTTGTTGTGGTTAATATTTTTCCTAATGATGAATTTTAAAAGTTATTGGCTTCAACTAAGGGTCTTTCGTACAGTTAGTTAAGAATATCGGCACGTCTTTAAGTCAAATCACCACCTCTGAGGCCTCACAATGGGGCAAAATTGGATGGACGGAATATTAAAAGTTTATCTGAAAATGTTCTTTGTTAGCTGTTTATTGGTGGAAGTATTGTTAAAGACGGTCCAGTGAAGGTGATAGAGGATTCTGAATTGAGTGGACAACCTGAGCCGTGTTACGTGAAGGGAAAACGAGTACAAGGAGGACCGCAGATGATTCAGTTGAGTTTGGATGGAAAACGACTGTACGTTACTACATCACTATACAGTGTATGGGACAATCAGTTCTACCCTGACCTGGCCAAGTAAGAATCATTGAAATATTCTCTCGTGACAATTAAAAACATAAAAGAAGACATCGCCACGTTGTTTCACGTTAACGTCAAATGATAAACCAACTATTCGGTTGAGGCAACTGCCAATCTCTTGAACTATATCGGCTTTACATAGCAATGACAATAGCTCATCCTCGGGGAAAGAAACTCTCTTGTTCACCGGTAGTAGAAAGGAAAAAAACTACAACAACGAATTGATCAAAACGATGGAGGCTAGGTAAAAAGTTGGAACTGAACGAAAAAAGAAGTGAGGTAAACTCTGAAAATATTATCTGTGGGCTATAAAAACTCCATTTCTTTGATTTCATTGCGTGGTTTGTTAGTTTGTTCCTTCGCTGGCTTTCTGTTGCTAAAATTTGTTGCTTGTTGTATGATTTTATTTAGTTATTCATTTATTTAGTTGTTTTCCGATTTCTTTCTCAGGAAAGGTTCCATGTTACTGCAAGTAGACGTTGACACAGTGAATGGTGGTCTTAAGTTGAATCCTGATTTCTGTGTGGATTTTGGAGAAGAACCCTACGGTCCAGCTCTCGCTCATGAAGTTCGTTATCCGGGGGGAGACTGCTCCTCGGATATATGGTTGAGTGAAACCAAAGCTGCAAAGTTGTAGGCTAAGATTTTGCTAAAGGGATCATAAGTTGATAACTTATATCCGAGTGTTACCGGAAGCCGTAATATATTTCAATGTTAAGACTTTTTTACTTACGAAAAATAAGTTGTCAAGTGGAACTAAATGATGTTGACACCGAATAAATTAATGCGAAGGGCAAATCTAAACTGCATTATGACGTTGGAGTATACATTGATTCCTCAATAAAAGTGTACTATTAAATAAATTGCCTTTTTTTTCTCACCATTTTAATAGTGATTTTGTTTTTGTGTTGGATCGATAACATGCACCCATCTCAGACGTGATGTATTTCTTAAAATTGTACCCCGCATCTATTGCAGGAACATGAAAAGTGTGTTGGTCTTCTAAAAAGGCCATTTGTGCGTCGTTTTTCTTTGTTGTGGAATTTGCTTGTATTCAAATATTTCTCCCAAGTAGACTACATTCTATTAGTATGGAATCAAACAAGGAATAAAGATAAATAAGCATATATATATATACAACTAACAAAAGCGAACGGCTTCCTTTCATAGTTCGACTCTTTTTTTTAGGTTCGTCAAACTGGGTTACAAATCGCCGTCCAGGCTCTCAAGCGCGTGTAGTAGAGCTATGAGTTTTTCACATGTTAGCTTCAACAACTAATTTAAAAGCAGGTGAAAACACTGTGTGAAAGGAATTACATTTCCACAAGCTTTCCGAACTGCTTTTCAGCAGCCTCTCACATACATTAGAAAATTTCGGGTGAAATTAGTCTGAAAATCGCATGAATACTGTGACCAGACGTTGAACGCTAAAATGCGCCTTGTCCTGTTTTGCCACCAAGATATTTTTCTTTCCTTTTTAGCAATGGTACGTTGTAAAAACAAGAGTTTCAATAAGAGGTTTTTTTCTTCACTTGACTTTTCAACTTTAATCAGCCTCGACCCAGGCCCCAGAACTCGTGTTCAAACACACAGGTGCTCAGCGCGCGCAACATGTCGCGTGCTCTTTTGACGCAGATTCGAAACTTATCAATTTTTGTTTCCGTTAACGGATATTTTACACTTAATAGTGATGAAGCATGGGTCTCGCAGTCCATAAAGGGGAAGAAACCAGTCTGAAAAAAAAAAAGGTTTTTTAAAAGAGCGATGTTAGCATAGCTCACCGAAGATGAATTAACGTTTGATTAAAATTACCTTTTTGAGTCCAGGCTTCGCGCCACCCGGTGACGTAGGAAGATAACAAAACAATCAAAATCTTGTGTCGTCATAGCAACGCAACTTGCAGTGTTGATAAGATGCTCAACGCATTTACTGCTATGTTAGGGTAATTTTGTGTTATCAACTGAGTTTACCGCGTAAATTAGCCACCGTAAAGAATTTTAAGGCTGACGTTTCGGGCGTTATCCCTTTGTCAGAGCGATTTACCTAAGTTCTTCAGTAGGTGAACACTGAGAGAAGCAAATTACGTAAACATCAACATTTTGCAGCAAGATGTGATGAATCGGTTTTCCGAGTACGGAACCATACACAGACTGGTGGCAGCTACACCCTTGAAGCTGCACAGACCACAGCCAATGAGGTAGGCTTTTTAACCGCGTAAAAACTAAGTAGGTTTGTTGTTGTAATGCTTCTGTACTGGTATTTTTTTCAATAAATACTTTCCCCAGCCAATTTCGACAGATGAGTAGGCATTTACGTAAGCGTTATAACTGTGTCAGTTGTAACACTCTGTGTCTATTTAACATGCGTGTCTCCCTCAGCTTCACGTACTCGTACCATCTTTGCGTTAGAAAAAAAATTGAGCTACACCTACTAAGAGCTGGTTTTACCCATCACAGGTCTTTCCGTATAGGTCTGAATCGCTAACGATCATAGTTTTTAGCAAAGATAAGCTCGAGGGGCCGGGCAAAAAAATTCTTCAAACTAGTTTAACGAATATTTTATTTACAGTAAAATACAATGACTTTATTCAAGAGCAATGGAAAGGGCATGCGATGATCGTTGGAAAAAAAAAGTTGATTCAAAACACATTCAATGAAGCACGCCATAAATTCTTACTTGGCTTAGTCTATCGGTGAGGCAAGTGTCCTAAACGAAATTGGCCTCTTAATTAAATTTATCTTAGCTGAAGAACTGAATGTCTTTTGGTCCTAACACTTTCTTCTGTTCTCGTCACGGCTCGTCCTGGCAAAGTAAACAGAATGGTCCGCTAAGCACTTCTAATTACACGGATATAAATTCTTGTTTGCTTGTTGGTTTGTTTGTTTTTCAAACCCTGGGCTTTAAACATGTCGAAGGAATTTTGGGTGGGCCAATATCCACTCAGTGTTGACATGCAAGTTGCAATCATGGACATCTTTTAAGCTACCTGTAGGAGCCGACTTCTCCACTACAATTCGACGCACCCACCCTCCTTTTTCGACATTCGTGTATTATAATTTCGCTTAGTGTTTCAATCAAATGAGCAGAGGTTTTGACCTTTTACACTTAACTCTGCAAGCAAGTTTTACCTACCTTTGTGGAAGCGCCAGTTTCATCCACAGGGCTCGGCTGAGGAGGCTTGTAAAATGGATCGCGAGTCTGCATTAATTCCATCAATCTTTGATAAGAACCGTTTTCTGGAGGGAAAAGGTTTCTCTGTAAAATGAGACATGGCTGAGAGTTAGTAAACGAATGGAAAGAGTACGGGTTAAAGATCAACTGAGAACTAAAAGTGTGGCGAGTTCTTGTATTTTCTTTCTTCCGTTTTTCATGAAAATCCATTCATGTAGCTGCTACAAACTGCACGGTTTTAAAAGTTGACTGAATGAAAAACAAGTTATTGCGTATCCCCTGCTTTGAAGTTCTGCAGTTGTAAGTTTTTTCTGTACACGAGTCAAGTAGCCCACCAAACCGGAGTTTGTCCTGGCGACTAAAGGTATTACAACCCCCCCGAATGGGATGCTAGTACATTGCAAGGCTACTCAGCCAGAAGTCTAGAACCCAGACCTCTCGAACCTGAGTCTCACCATGAGGCCACCGCGTCTCGTATCAGTTTTCCGAAGTTAAGATAAATTTCATGCCTTTGCTCCAAGTTCTGAATAATATCACATACTGTCGAAACTCGTGTCATAAGCTAAACAATGCTGTGTTACTCACACTGAGTGATAGCCTCATAAGTCCTGTTGGTTTTCCAACTGAGGACGTCACTTCTGCTTGTCTTTGTACAGAAATAAGAAAAGCCTCCACTCCGATTTCACCGCATTTATTCCCTGGAATGTGGAATAAAGATAAATCAATAGTAAATGACCAAGAAAAGAACATGGAGGATATCCTCAACATGGCAAACCACTTTCTGTCAGAATTTTCTTTAATCGCGTATGAGTAGAAAAACTTACGCGATAAGTTCAAGTTAATAAGAGCTCTGTTTCCAGGGATAATAATTTCACCACTCTCTTCCTTGATGGGGTTTTCCAGGAGTGGATTAGGGAACTCTACAACTTCCGGTTGCTGCAAGTGAAAAAAATATAACCATTCCAATTCATTCTAATCAACCAAGAGATGATGATGTAATCCTATCTTGATTCAACAGAATATATTGCTGGGAGGCACATGGAGAAACAACTGCAAAATACTTACCTCTTGTTCAGGTTGCTGCACTTTCTTATCGCCTTTGGTTGTGTTAACTTTTTTCCCTTTACCAACACCCTTGTTGACGGTTTCAGTAGAGGCAACTAAGTGAAAATCACAAAAGTGATTTTTAATTTTTTTGTTTAATGTCTTTTTTTCCTTTTGTTTTTTTTTTTACTTTCGGCGGGAGCCTAAGAACACGTTTAGAAACATTAGTTCCCAGTTCTACTTACTTTTCTTCGCCTTTTCCGTTTCTTGTTTTTTGGTATCCTGCAAAACAAACAGCATATTGAATACTTTAGATGTTACATTTGACGAGAAAAGACGTAAACGGAGCTAATTGACTGGCTGTGTGGCATCTTAAAAGAATTATAACTCCATGTCAATCTTTTCTATCTCTTTTCCTTTACTTTGTCCATTTATATGCCTGCTATTTTATCGAAGTAATAATCTGTGTAGTTCTTATGATCAAGTTTTATTTTCTTCTTACCGTAGCAAATTACTTCAATGAAAGATTGTGACGTATAAATAAAAATTGTTAAAAGACTAGTTTTAAGTGTCATTGGTGCGATCGTTGAACTTTTCTTCCAGATATCGCCACTTCCTTGTCTGGGCGAGGACATATTAAGATTGAGACCTCTCCATCATCACCTATCACGCGACAAAAATTTCGAACTCGTAATCTCATTGCTAAATGATCAACCCACGGTTGACCTTTTACCTTTGTGCCAGCTTCTCAATGAACCAGATAATCGATTAACTAATTACAATATCGGTAAAATGTCTCCACCTTTGGAGATCTCGTAAGCGAGACTGGAATGAGATGGCATGAAAATACTCGATAATTCATAGGTGCACAGATATTTTTCTTTACGCTCGCGAGATTTCGTAGGAAAGACGACGGTTCTCCTTTCTGGGTTAATGTTTACATCTAGTCTTAAAATAATCAGTTATTTGTTTCTTTTTTAACTTAAATAACAACACAGAAAATGATAATAAAAAATAAAATTTTCATAGATTCTGAAGTGATAAGTGTGCATACAAGCCTTATTGTATATCCAGTGCAGAA